GTGTGTGTGTGTGTGTGTGTGTGTGTGTGTGTGTGTGTGTGTGCGCGCAGGGAGAGCCAGGTCTAGAGGGAGAAGCTGGTCCGGCTGGTCCTGATGGAACCAAGGTGAGATGTTTTTTCCCTTTCGTGATGTAACTGTCCTCCATGCTGTATTCCAAACCAAAGCATTAGTTTTGGTGTGTAAGAGTGCCGCTGTCCATCGTGCACCTTTAGGGGGAAAAAGGTGACATGGGTCAGGAGGGTGACAAAGGAGAAAAAGGTGAAACCGGACAAAAGGGAAAGGAGGGCCCCCCTGGAAGTCCTGGATTCACTGGTGTCAGAGTAAGTCACCTGTCTTTCTTTTAAAATTCATACACACAACACACGCACAGACTTTTAAACCTCACTCTAAACCTTTTGTCATGGTAGGGTCCAGAAGGGAAGCCTGGCAAAATTGGGGAACAAGGCAAACCAGGGTCAAAGGTGCTAGCATCAAATAACCTAACAAGTATTCACAAATAATAACAAATACACAAATGCTGTGTGCTCAGGTATATTCTAACTCTTCTTATCCTGTACGTTTAGGGTGCCAAAGGTAATCAAGGTCACCTCGGGGAGACTGGGTCAGTGGGGAAGACTGGACCGCCGGGTTTTGTTGGGCCAAAGGGTTCCAGGGGAACTATTGGTCATGTGGTAAGGTGGAATAGTAATAATGTAAACCACAAGCACTTTGCGTAATAATCCTTTAATAGATGAAACAATTGAAGATGCAACACTTGTATTCTATAGGGAGCTCCCGGTCGAATGGGTCAACAGGGGGAGCCTGGTCTTGCAGGTTATGAGGTAAGATTGTTTTGTTAAGGTTATACATCAGAGTCAGCACAATGAAGCATTTGTTATAGTTAGTTTAGATAATATGACTATTTGCGACTTTCTTTGCAGGGCCATCAGGGACCTCAAGGCCCCATAGGGCCTCAGGGACCAAAAGGTGAAAAGGTACGCATTGCTCACTTTACGTGGCGTGTTTCTCTTACTCTTTCACTGTATCATAGGCCAAATCCTTATTGTGCCCCTGGAATAAGCTGAATGTGTAACACTCAGGGGGCATTTCAAAAAAGCTTAAATCATCAAGAAAGTTTGTATTACTCGAAAACATTTGGGTAAGATTTTTCTTACTTTTATGCTTAGGGCGAACAAGGGGATGATGGGAAGGTAGAGGGTCCTCCTGGTCCTCCGGGTGACATGGTAAGTCACACCCAACTTACTTTCCTTTCTCTTTCTTGTGTTTGTCTTTTATACAGTTGCAGAAATTGTGTCATTTTCAGTTTATTAATAGATTTTGTATCTTATCAGGGACCTCCAGGGGACAGAGGAGAAAGAGGGGAGCCAGGAGATCCTGGGTACAAAGTGAGGACCGTCCTTCCACTTGATTTTTTATAATATTAATTTGTGATTATCTGTTTTATAATCTGTTGTTATGTTTTAGGGGCAAATTGGTGTGGATGGTGAGCGAGGTAGACCCGGTGCTCCCGGACTGCCAGTAAGTGCCAAAACTTGTGATTTTCAGGCATACAAACACCAGGGACAGTCACCTGGTTTGTCTTTACATGCTTTCATTAACACAGTTGTCAATTTCAGGGACATCCTGGACCTCAAGGACAGCTAGGACCCAAAGGGGGCAAAGGAGATCAAGTAAGGATGGGAAACAAAAATGATGATGTGTGTGGGATTCAAGGTTCTCAGCGATATGTTACAGTTGGTCTACAGCTTGGGAAATGGTCCAGTCTGCATAATGGGTCCTTTGACATACAAAGCTAATATAAAATGCAACTATCAATGTACAATTTTTAAATGACATATTTGTAACATTTTGGCACTTTGGTGTAGGGAGGTGGTAGGATGGAGTACTTACTCCATTACTGGAATAAATAATGTGAACAGTTTTGCTAATAAAAACATTTATAGGATGCTAGTTCAGTGCATAAAAAGTAATTACCTCATATAAATGCGCATCATATTAACTCTATTTATATAGAGACATAAATGGCTGCAAAAGGATCAGCAGGTTTCTGCAAAAGTTGAAAAATGAGCTGATGTTGTGCATGATCAGAAAAATTTACCAAAGAGTACAGCACTGTGCAATGTGGGCTAACAACAAAAGATCATCCCAGTAAGCATTTAATATTACCAGAGATGTGTTTTAAAAATGTCAGTACACACCTTTAATAATCAATACCTGTTCAGTAACTGCACACTTAAAACTTTCTATCTATCATTCTTAAGGGTCAGAAAGGCAAACAGGGTCAGCCAGGACCAAAAGGAGCCAGAGGACCAGAAGTAAGTGACTTGTTTTCATACACCCACAGCAGGTTCATTTAGTGTTTAATTAAAAAGAAACATTTTTGCAAATTATCTGTCTAGAAAAAATTTGTTTTCGGTAAAATGGATTGTCTTCATTGTCAAGTAAAATGAGCTTAAATGATGCATTTCACAGGATTTGCTTTAGTTATTTGATGAGCCTGCTCTGCTCTGTAGGGTGTAGGTGGTCCTCCTGGTCCTAGAGGTGTGGTGGGCCGAGAAGGTCAGGAGGGTGTACCCGGGGTGGATGGAGTCCCAGGAAAAGATGGCAGTGTAGGAATCCCGGTGAGATGATCAAGGAAATCATATTATTCATTTCATTAGTGGCCATTAAATCCTGTTTCCATCCAGGAAATGAGTTTAAAAGATGCGAAACAGCCTGATGAATTTGCTTTTGAATTTTGTCTTCTTAATGCCAGGATAAAACCTTGTTTATTTTATCAACTCAGTTAAACATGTTCTTCTTCCTCATTTTACCTTCTCAAAATGAATCTAGGGAGAGCATGGTGACGATGGGGAGGCTGGTCTTCCTGGAAAAGCTGGCTTGCGTGGTAAAACTGGCGTTCCAGGACTCCCAGGAGATCAGGGAGCTTTTGGACCAAAGGTAGGAGGGATATTCTTTTCAATTAGCAATAGCTACCTCAAATAAGGAATATACTAGTACAATATACTGTGTGAATGTGTGAATGAATGTGAGTGCGAATGGTTGTCTGTCCCTGTGTGTTGGCTCTGTGACAGACTGGCGACCTGTCCAGAGCGTACCCCGTCTCTTGCCCTATGACAGCTGGGATAGGCTCCAGCGACCCTGAAAAGGATAAGCGGAAGCAAATGGATGGATGGAATATACTATACTAGTACAGTATGACAGCCTTAATAAAAATGCAGTCATTCATCCATTCAGGGTGAGCGGGGTCTTCCGGGTCAGAGTGGACCTCCCGGAAAAAGAGGCTTCAAAGGTGGAATGGGATTGCCAGGGCCACAGGGCGACAAAGGACCTAAAGGACAACCTGTGAGTGTCAGCAACAGATACAGTAGTATACATAACAAGGAGTAGATGTTGAGTTATATTTAATTTTCCTTTTAAATTAATTCTTCATTAAATTCTCACTCAGGGTGACACAGGAGAGTCAGGTTTTCCAGGAGTTCTGGGAGTTTTTGGACCAAGGGTACGTGTACAACAAAACACTAATAAAATTTTCCACACATATTTGAGGCAGTTCATTTACAGTACACAGTCATTATTATCTAGATGAGGACAGAATAGTGCAGGTAACTTAGACAACACGTGACAATGACATTGATTAAGACAGGAAGAGAACGAAAAGGAGGAGCTCAGATGGGGGTGGGTTACAAAGCGGCTTGCAGTTGCACAGCAAATGCAAACTCAAGCAGCATAAACAGTACGCCCTTTATGATAATTCCTAATTGAAATCATTGAAGGGTAAGCCATCATCTGATCTGCCAGGACTTCAGCTGAACTTGACTTGGTGCCCTGTGTGAACTAACACTACACTTGATTTGTTGTTCAGGTCTAGACCAGATGTTGCAACTCCTGGCCCTGACTAAGCTGAAATTGTTGGTGCTTGCACAAGTTTGTGTTGTGTACTATTATAAACCTATAAATCACATTTTATACAAATGTCAAATAAACACTGATGTGTGACTAATCATGTCACATGGCGGGGAAGACCACTATAGCTCATTTTTCCTAAATTCAATTCAATATTGAAGCCATCAGAGCTTATCCAGTGTTCCGAGATGAAGCAAAATCTATAGTCAGAGATAGGTTAGTGTAAACATATGTTTTAGGCCAAACTGACAAAGTGTGTAATGGCTGTGTGTAAATATGTATCACTTTCAGGGGCCTCCAGGAGACTTTGGGCCAAAGGGCATAAGAGGGCCAAAAGGGCCCCAAGGATCAGTGGTAAGTAACGTGATGATTTAGATAATTCTGATAAAAAGCTCTGGAATGCTCATTCTTTTTTTTTCTCCTTTAGGGTAGACGAGGAATTGTTGGTCCCGTAGGAATTATTGGTCCCAATGGAAGAGCAGTACGTTTTGTACATGACAGAAGCTTTGACATTTCTCTGCGCTGATGTCTTTCAGCATACTCACTGGTTTATGTACACTTTACAGGGTTCTCGAGGACAGAAAGGCAATCGTGGCGAGACTGTGAGTTTTCGTTGTCTTTTATCATATCTATCACTTGTTTTTTTCCCATTTGTTTACATTAAGAGTGCAAAAAGCAGAGTTGATTGCAGAATTCTGGCTAAAAATATGTTTTTCTCTCTCTGAACAGGGAGCTCAAGGTCCAAGGGTATGTTTGCACAGCATCGTCTTTCCCTCCTGTTACAATGGATTTTAATTTTACTGTGGTGACTTGAATGACAAAAAGTTAATATAAAAATTATGTTCTCTTCCCTGTTAGGGATCTCCTGGACCTCGTGGACCACCTGGACGTCCAGTAAGTTTTTTTTCCCTCAGCGTTTAACTAAATATTATTTTCCAGCTTGCATGACACATGCAAGCCTAATGCCTAATGCCTGTTTTTTATTTCCTTTAGGGTCCTCCAGGTGTCCCTCTGTCATTTGTAAGACATGTTATACTTGCTGGTTTCATTACACCCAATATGTGTTAGAAGATACAATGTCACTGATTAAATTCAAACTGGGGGTTTTTTTGATGTAGAAAGAAGATGGTGTATTGTTTATGGATTTACCCACCCCACTCAGGACTGAGGTTAGTGGAAAATGCTGATAGTGTTTCCCCATTGTTATACTTTATAATCTGTTGACAACTTAAAAGACTCTTGTGTTTTTAGAATAAGCCTGTGATGGACCTGCCGATGCTGGACCAAGGTGCAGAGATCTTCAAGACCCTCCACTACCTCAGTAACCTGATCCAGAGCCTGAAGAACCCACTGGGCACTCGGACCAACCCTGCCCGTATCTGCAGGGACCTGCACAGCTGTGAACAGAAGTTAAATGATGGTGAGAATGGTGTGCACGGCACAGAGGGTGAACAGTTTTGTGTATAGATAGTCGAATGATCCTAAAACATGTTTTTATTTTCAGGCACGTACTGGATTGACCCCAACCTGGGTTGCATGTCAGACACAATAGAAGTCACCTGCAACTTTACCGGAGGTGGACAGACTTGCCTGAAACCATTAACAGTGTCCAAAGTATGCATGAGATAGTGATATCCCCCAGTTTCCACAAAATTATAAAAATATTTATAAAGGTTACACATAAAATAAACTTGTTAACCATCTCCTTTTCTCTAGCCAACAGTCAGTGTTGGTCGTGTTCAGATGAACTTCCTCCACCTGCTGAGCTCAGAGGCCGTGCAGCACATCATCATCCACTGCCTGGATGTCTCTATTTGGAGGTCAGCTGAGGATCAGCCTGTTGAACAGGGGTCTGTGAAATTCAAGGCCTGGAGTGGGGAGGTGTTTGAGGTGGGAGGAGAGTTGGAGCCAGAAGTCTTGGAGGATTCCTGCTGGGTAAGACTGAGATCCAGTTATCTTGTTTATTACATGTTATATCGTTACTGAATTTCAAGCATTCAAAGCATACCAAAAACTGTGGGTATAAAAAAGTTGCTCTAATTCTGATATTTTCAATATTTCAGATAAAAGATGGGCGCTGGCACCAGACCCATTTTGTGTTCCACTCCCTAGACCCCACACTCCTCCCTGTGGTTGACATTTACAACCTGCCAAAAGCTAGTCCCGGCTCTCATTACCACCTGGAAGTGAGCCCTGTTTGCTTCCTGTGAGACTGTGTCTTCAGAGCAAAGACGGATGGAACAAGATACATTCGCATAGGTGGAGAATGGCGCACTCTCCCAACCAACCAAACCATGTCCAAACCGTGGCCAAACACTGTCCAAGCAAGAAGATGCCACCAACCCCCAAACAGATCCTGCTTCGCTCTGCCAAACTCCCTGGACTGCAAACACAGAGGGAGGAAGCACAGGGACCTCGGGCTGGAGCCGGGGGCAAAGAAGGGCTGAGAAAGAACAGGGCAGTTCTCGCACTACAACCTTCTTCAGGCTCTTCGAAAAGGATCTTCTCATATACGCTTACTTGGAGAAAATAAAGGCGCTATGCCACAAAATCTCTCCAGAACATTTCTAAGTGAAGGGAGACAAAGGCCAAGTTAATCAGTGGACATTATAGTAACTTATTTTTGTATACAGTCTGTATACTGAGCGTACTTTTGGGGGAGAAATACCAGAAATTTATTTCTGCAAGAAGAAAAGAATTAAAGTAATCCGGATTAGTTCAATGTACATATTTATATATATATGCTTATAATTAACTTTTATACCTGTATATCTTATGTAAATTAATAATAATAGTAATAATAATAATAATAATAATATTCTTTAAGTGCAATAGAAAACAAGAAGATAATTTGGTGTTTTAAATCTATATGGAAGGATTTGTCAGGGGTGCCTTTTTTTTTTTTTTTGCCTTTGGTGCTCATCTTCTCGTGATCCGGCATAGGTGAATCAATCCAGAGGGAGAGTTGTTTGCTTAAATTGAGCAGAAGTCACATTTATATTTGTTTTACTCCATTGGGAGATTTCCCTGATGTGGGAAACAGCCAGTGGCACACAGTTAGCCCTCAGTAAATTACATCCAAAGCCACAAGCCAATACCTATCCACAGGGGGTATATTAAATACTTACTAGACCAGATGCCACTGATGATTAGGGAGAATTTAGATGGAGATTAGGGGTCAGGTTTAGGGAGACTACGGAGCTCAGGTTCTCAGTAGTGTTTCTCTAACTGTGGAGTGTCCTTGCTTCTTTATTTATCATTTACAGTAAAAGGTAGGTGTTCTTTTTAAATCAGCATCAGTCATAAACCTCTCCTACCCCACCTATACAGCGATCTTTAGAGGGGAACTGAGCCACATGAGAGAGTAGTGTGAATACAGGAATCCAAATCAACCTCCATTTCTAAGCCTGTCGTCGCTCTACTGCCTGGTGCTAGGTAAACTGTTTAAGGTGCTAGCCATAGTGCTGTATTTACACCACTGTGCAAAAATATCCCAATGTTTATAGTGTTTGCATGCTTAAACAAATCAAAAAATATTGCCATAGCTGTATAATGCACTATAATAGCGATATCCCATCTAACACTACAGAATTCCCATAAAGTCAGTCATCTGTCATTTATGTAAATGTGTTCAGTGCTGCAATTGTAGGTGTATTAGAGAGCTTATTACTGGAAAAAAAAACAAAAAACATTTCTGCTTTTGCATGCCCGCATAAATCTCAGCATTTGAAGTATTTTTTAAGGCTAAAATTGTTTTCTCTGTACAAAGCCCCTTCTCTCCCACAGGTGTATGTATTAAGTGTAGAGACACACCAGTGGAGATAGTTTTTACTAAATGATAATAATATTAATTAAAAAAAACATTTCTTTGATGTAGCTGGACACAAATGTGTATAATTGTGTAAACCTCGCTGTATACAATGGATCCCCTCTTGCTAATTTAATGTTATTTAATGTTGTTAATGTGGTTGCTGACTGAAGCAAGTTTCTGTTGGTTGAAGCAATACTACTCTTTCTGACAACTTTCGAAAAATCAGTTATCCCAACTGGTCTTGGAGTTTATAGATTTGTTTTATGTGTAAATTTGGGACTCCAGAGAACAAATTTATTGCAATGTTAATTCTTTTATTTTTGTAACTTTTTTTTCCGTTATGTTCCTCTATGATAATCAAACATGTACTGTACCAGGATTGTGCTATTCTATCACTTGTGTTTTTAAAGAAATTATGCAAATATGTGAATTTTATTTTCCTTTTCCTTTTGTAAATCTGTTGTAGACATTTCAAGAAGCTAAGAATACCTCACAATTTTACGCAGGACTTGGACAAACGTTTTTTTTCTTGCCTTTATAATTCAAATCTGTTTCGGAAATATCAGCCAAATGCAGCGAGTAAGTCCTCCAACTCTGAACAAGACGGTTTCTGTTGCCTTCATCGTTTCTCTGTCTACTCTTTAGTCATTGTTCGGTGTCCATTTGTTAAATAAATACTTTTAATTTGTGTCTGGATTTTTACTTTAACCATTGGCCATAAGCTGTGATGCAAAACATATTTTACTTATTTACCAACCTAATAAAGTTGCAAAAATGTGTGGCTTTGACATACAGTAAACAATATCGACACTCTATATCATCAATCTATATGTGCTGAACTATAAGGACACAAAGGCTTTTCGGGCCACTGGTTGCACAACTTAGCTATAATTAAACACATAGAGCGTTTCGACATTGCAATATGACTCCAGACGGGTGTAACTTTTTCCACAAGGTGACACCGTGGTGAGTTGATTCATCGCTCACACCTGAGTAGAGGCCTTCAGGATCCTAAGTATTGGAACATGGACACCATTTTTGTCATTTTACCTCTGGACATGGTCTTGTGGCTTCTCTGGACAAATTAAAAAATAACAAACTGATAAATTTTTTTAAAGACTCAAAATTTTCCAAACAGAAAGTAACATAAATCCAAATGTAGGGATTGTTTTTAACCATGATAATCATGGTTTTTAATCATATTTAATACATCATTTTTTAAATACCTCTACATCATCAGTGTGTATGTGTTTTGTTTTTAAGAAACCTAAATGAACTGCACAATTATTGATGGCTCAGGGTTTACAGCTTTAATACTTTGATGCAATTAATTTGTAGTCAGTGACCATTTGAAGTCTGGACCTCACTGAGGGCATCACCTCCGTTCCTTGAGGTTTGAGGGAATTTTTCTCTGCACAGGCCCAACCACAGCATTTCTGCCAGGTTGAGCTCTTTGACTGAAACATTGCACCACCTTGATTCTTTTCTTCTTCAGCCAATCTGTTGTAGATTTGCTGCTGTGGTTTGGACCATTGTCCTTTTACATGACCTAGTTCCAGACAAGCTTTAGCGGTCAGACAGATGGCCTCACATTTGACTCCAGAATACTTTGCTATACAGAGGAGTTTGTGGTGCACTTAGTGACTCCAAGGTGCCCTGGACCCATGGTAGTCCAAATCATCACCCGTCCACCACCATGCTTTACAGTTGATATAAAGTGATTGTGCTGATATGCTGTGTTTGGTTTTTACCAAACATGGTGTTATGCATTATGGCCAAACATGTCCACTTTGTTGTCATCTTTGAAAAAGACATTGTTCCAGTCATTTTGTGGTTTGCACAGTTCAGATGCAACCATGCAAACCTCAGCAATGCTGCCATGTTCGTTCAAACAATCACTACAATCTTCTTCTCACTGCACTGCCTGCTAACTAAAACCTCTAGAGTTTGAGATGTAGTTGTTCGGGTTTTTTGCGGTTTCTCTGAAGATTGTATGGTCTAACTTTGGGGTAAATTTGCTGAACTTCCACTCCTGGTAAGACTGACATGTCTTGAATATTTTCCATAATTGTTCTGACTGTAAAATGATTTGGAAATAACCTTATAACCCTTCACAGACTGATGGGCAGCAATAATCGCTTCTCTTGTCATAGATGATATTTTTTCTCCACGGCATTATGTGAACACACACCTGAATGCTCCTCATGAGCAAAATGCTAAAATGTTTGTTTTTATAGAGGTGCTCACGCCTTTGATGATCAGTTAATGAAATGCATTTGATTAGCAGCACCAGGCTGCTACTTACCCTCCTAATTCAATGGAAAAAGTGAAGGTGTATTGAATCTCACACCACTTCTGTATTTTGGCTTAGTTTTTCTTAAATAAATAATTGGCAAATGGACTGGTATCTATATGCCAGCCTTTATTCAATTTGAGCATTCACTGTGCTTCCTACTAAAAGTCTCATTCACCCAATAACACACACATTCATACAGTGTTTTTTATCTATATCTATTCACTGTTTATCTAACATTCACACACTCACACTTTGATGGATGCAGTACTTTGCCCAAGGATGCTTCAGCATATGGACAGGAGGAGCCAGGGAGAGATTGGTAGATGACACCCTCAATCACCTGAGCCACAGCCGCCCTCATTTTAGATAATGACATGATAATACCCATAAATATGTTCATGTGAGATTGTAATTACTCAATTTTAAGACCGGCTGATGATCAGATGATTTTTCTATGTCCACATATTTGAAACCTTAGAAGTTAAAGGGATTAGTTTATTTTGGCCTCCAAATCTAGAGCAAGTAGTTCTCTGATGGTGGAAAAACGTTCTTCACTAATGCGCTTTGATAGAAAAAGAAAATAATCTAGTGATTTCTAGTCCATTTTGTGTTTGTATGAATTCACCTCAAAATGTGAATGAATAACATAATCCAAAACAAATGACACGCAAAGAACTGAAAGCCTTTAGAGATTGAGCTATAATAATAATAATAATAATAATAATAATAATAATAATGAATACAGACTGAAGTTTTGAATTACACCACATGCTGTCGCTATTGTTCTCTGATTTATTTCATGTGCAGCAGATGCTTACACAAGGGAGGGCATAGATGTTTTTCAGAACTTGCATGGACGATAAAATACAGAGACTGAAGCCATTACTGTAAGGTCGTTTAACTAAATGTTGTAATTAGCCCACTTAGTGGAGCAAATGTTAATTATGCTGCGGCATCAAGCAACACACCCGGCGTCCCACTCACCACACACACATATAAATCATCCTAAAGGATGTTTTTACCATCCTAGTAAATATGCGGAAAAACACACAAATCTGTCATCTGGTTCATTTCCTTTTGGAGTTTAGTAAAATTAGTTTAGTCTTAATGCGCTCTCGGGAAGAGAAAGCGCCAACATTGATCCAAACTTACAGTTTTAGATCAATGCTGGCGCTTTCTCTTTTGGATCAATCTTGGTAATGATCCAAAAGTGGAAGTTTTGGATCAATACTAAGTCAACAGGATACGGATTATTGGGTAATATAATTAAAAAATCGTCTTTTCCAATAATGGAGTTGTCGAGCACAGAAATATACCTTTGGCTGAATGACAGTTGGGAAAAAAACATCCAAGCTGACAGCGTGTGTATTTTTGAGCCTTTATGAACCTTCCCACGGTGTTTGCTTTGGCCAATCGCTTTGTCTCTATATCCACCCAGCTCCGTGCTGCCTTTCGACCTGCTCGAAAAAATATCCCCACTTTGAGGTCATTAGCAATAATTATCTTGAACCTGACTGTATTTTGAACTAATGTTAACATGAAGCTTAAAATAAGAAGAAAACACAGTCTGGCTTGTTGTAACTTTACATCATAATACTAATCATTTCGGTGTATCACAGGCTAGGTTTCGTTACAAATATTTCCTGCAGCGCCTAAAGGCAGCACCAGTTTCCAACGTGCACAATGGTGACGTTTACCATATCATGATGGCGGTAGCCTGGACTATTTTGAATTCCGTCCCGCTTTTTGAACTTTACACTGCGTCCAGTCGGTAAAATGATATATTGCTTTGGCGAGAACAAACAATAAGTGAACCACAATTATGGATTCCGTCGTGGGGGACGATGTGACGCTCCCCGTTGACATCAACGGAAGGTAAAACAGTCAACAAAAGCTAGCGGGCTAACGCTAGCGTGTATGAGCGTTACTGTATGTTTTAGCTCTTCTGAAAACAATATTTTACATAGTTACCGCTGCTTGGGCCTGCCTATGAGACCAAAGCTCTCGAGTTGTATTGTTTTAGACACACAACGATACTAAATGAAGTTCTTTAACAGTCGTCTGCGAAAATGTCTTTGCTTAGCTTTTATTACTGTAGGTTTAACAAGAAACGTCTGTTTTATAATTTGGGTGTAGCAATATTAGGTCATCTTCTATTTAGGGGATCATACGTACATGTAAAATTATGCTTCCATGTTGTAGTAGCCATCTGTAATATAGATTTGATTATGAAAATGTGCTGGGGAAATAACGGAAACAAAACAAAAGCTACTAAATATATAATTGCCATAGATAATTGCTATATACACAGTTTTTCCCACTTTAAGTTGCTTGTCTGTCTGCAGCGGGTCATATTGACATACACACTATTTGGAAAAATATTACTCATATAAACAGTTAACATCGAAGTCCAGTAAATGCGTACCTAACGGTAGTAACGTTTCGTTTAGCTGGGAAGAAAATGCCAATGAAGGGAGGGGGGTGAATTGATAGGCTGTGAACACTGGTCCAGAAAGGATGCTCTGTACTGACCACTGCTTGTGGCACGGTTACGAATCATACTCAGCTCTGTCGATGTTGCTGTGATGTTGCCGCGAGTGGCAGCACGACGTGTTGAGCTGTCATGCAGAGAGTGAAAGAAAGCGGAAATTATGAGAAGCACTGTCAGACCGCATCAGCGGCGTCTCCGCCACTATTGTCACAAAATGAGGAGTTAACATTTTTATATTTATTTCCTTTCCTTTTTTCCCGCGTGCTCTCCGTTACGTGGAGAAAGAGCGTGATTGTGGTAGGTGAAGCGTTCATCATTAGCTTTGCTGCACTGTGCTCTTCCTGGGTAGTGCTGAACAATGTAGCTAGTTTACAGCTTCTTTTTCATTCTTACAAATAAGCTAGTTTTCGCATCTCTGCCTTAATGCGTTTAGTGTCCCCTTGTTAGTTTCCCTTTTAAGGACCAGGCACAGCTTTTGTTTGGTGGAAAAGCTTTCATCCAGGTGGTAAGCATACCTCAGTAATTCAAGATGTCAGCTGATATGTGTGGTGTGCATTGTTGGGTAATTCTGAAACCCGACTCACTTTAGTCTTTTAGTTTCGAAATTGTGACCTTGCTCGACTTA